GAGTTTAAAAGGCTTCAGAGGTCTGTTCTCTCCGAGCCGTGAACGCAGACGTCAGCCTCCAGAAACACCTGGAAGACTTTACACTTTATTCAACCTCTCGTTAGCATCCAGGCTAACAGGCTTTGATGGGAGCTTCCATACAAACAGCTTCAGCAGGAAGAGTCTGTAAACTATCGGACAGATAAAACACTACGAAGGGTTAAATCACAGATAACACAAAACAGAGAGATCCAAGTTCCAGTTCTCTTTCATCATGACCTCAGCAGCTTCAGAGGAGATACGGAGATGTGGAACTGAAGACCTCCTCCAACAGAGCAACATGAATATATATAGGACATAAAACTAATAAAACAGATCAAATAGTGCAAGAGAATGTTTTGAGATGTGCAAGTTAATACAAACAGAATATAAATAGTGCAAGAAGTGTCTGTATACGAGAACATGGAATATGTTGTATAGACAAGACAGATGTTCTAGAGGTTCTTCACAGAGCTCAGGTGTTTAACAGTCTGATTGTGGGATGAAACTGTTTGGAAAATATCACTCGACACCGGGTTGAGAATCAATAATCAGCTACTCATGTATTCTTGCAAGAAGGAGCAGAGTTAAGTCACACACAAAGGATATGGTTCCACTCACACACATGAGCTCAAAGGAGCAGGAAGTAACATCAAGCTTACATCGTCTAAAGTCAGGAGGTACCAAACAGGCCTAAGTCGGTTTGGCGTCAGCAGGCGTCGGGAAGGCGTCGGGAAGGCGTCGGGAAGGCGTCGGGATGGCGTCGGGAAGGCGTCGGGAAGGCGTCGGGACATCTCTGGAAAGAAAGGCACGTATTCCCGTCCCGCCAGTGTTGCTCTTTGCCCCTCGAAGAAGAGTGGAGACAAAGTGTGTGTCCTCTCCTTGGTATCAACCACATGAATGATGCCCTGCCTTCTCCTACCTCAGAGGAGGCAGCTGCAAGGTCACACAGGTGCAAGGTCACACAGGTGCAAGGTCACACAGGTGCAAGGTCACACAGGTGTAAGGTCACACACGTGCAAGGTCACACACGTGCAAGGTCACACAGGTGCAAGGTCATACAGGTGCAAGGTCACACACGTGCAAGGTCACACACGTGCAAGGTCACACAGGTGCAAGGTCACACAGGTGCAAGGTCACACAGACAACTTGTATTTTCTCCAACAGAAAGTGTCTCTGAGTCTGGAGGTCTTAGTCCTGATGCTGCGTGGTGCATATTAAAGTAGATCTAGATGTAGAAGGTGCAGCACAGCACCACAGTCTCCAGTCCAACCCGAGCCCTGGTCCTCTACCCCCTGGTCCTCTACCCCCCTGGTCCTCTACCTCCCCTGGTCCTCTACCCCCTGGTCCTACCCCCTGTTCCACTACCCCCTGGTCCTCTACCCCCTGGTCCTCTACCCCCTGGTCCTCTACCCCCCTGGTCCTCTACCCCCTGGTCCTCTACCTGCAGAGTTCACCTGAGAAATGCCTGAGTTCATTTATGATATTATGTGTTACATGTGTCCTACAGAGAGATGCATGCTCGGAGCTCTCAGCGGGGGTGCAGAGGTCAGCTGTTCTTGGCTTCTCTTCTTCTCTGACATTCCTCTTTAATCACATTCCTGCTGCTGGAAATATACTTTCATATTAATGTGAATATCACGATCAGAGCCTCTTCCTCTGGACCTGACCCTCTGTCACATCTCAACAATAATATAACCCTCTACTAATATCTACTCTCAGGTTTCTGTTTCTCTCATGAAGGATTTCAAAGTGAAGTGATGGTGGTCTATGGTGGGAAATCACACTGCTTTATAAACAGGATGCTTATTTTATATATCTGTTAAAGTGCTTCATTATAATGTCTCCTGTGTTTTTATCTTTTTTCTTTAATACTATTTTCATTCTTTATTTTATACATTAAATATTAAAGGTGGGGTAGGGAAGTTTGAGAAACCAGCTCGAGATCGCTAGAATTTGAAAATACACAGCCGGAGAAAATCTGCCACTTCCTTACAGAGCCGGACTGGCCATTGGGACGATGGGCCGGTACTGAAGTGGGCCGGTCGGACGATGTGGGCCGGTCGGATAAGTCACTAGCACCCCCCCCCCCCCCCCCGTTGATAATATACCGGTCGAGAGTCCCGGGCTGATTTGTAGTCCCAGTCCGCCCCTGACCTCCTCCAACACACACGAACGCACACATGACCAATGAGGGCACGAGATAAGTTTGGGCACAGATCAAGCCCCCAGGAAGTGCGCCGGACTCAGATGAAAATATTCGTGCTGGCCAAACGGCGGTACTACACTTCCTTTTGGTTGCCAGGCCCGGAAACACTTTTTCCCATTGACTTACATGGGGAAAGAGTGGTCTGTAAATCGTTGGATAATTTTTTTTAAACTAAACTACCCAGCATGAACACTTGTATAGCCCTTATTAAAAACATTCGTTCCTCAAGTTGTAAAAATGTGCTAATAACGTTATTCTGTGAGTTATTTCCCTCTGCATTATGAACGCGCATCTAACCCACGGAACCGCGCCGCCCGGCACGTTCATGTTACGTGTTCAGCACTACATGCGTTTATCTTTACCCATGGATGCACAATAAGAACGGACCCATATCGCCTTACTGCCAGCCCACGGAGCTGTAATAATGGATATATTGCACATGTTTGCTGTAATTCATCATTTGTAAAATATTATACTACATGGGCTGTATGATTAAATCTTGTCCCGTAAATGTTGTATTAAATAAAGTTAATATTACCGACGTAGATTAACGTCCCTGTACAGTAGCTTCTTATTGCACTAAGAAGCTTATTGCACTGTATATATATATATATATATATACATACATATACATATATATATATGTATATACAGTGCAATAATTCTTTCATGCTAAATGAAGCTCTGTTGCTTGGATATCACTAGATCCTGTTACAGCGTAATATAAAATTACATAACGATTGATGTGTAAATTAGCATAATTACTAGCTAACCGCTAGCTGCTAACTGCCGCCTCGTTAATATCAAATCTATCATAATAACAACCCATTACCATGCTGTCATGAACGTGCGGTGCTGTTACGTGTACGCAGATTGACGTGCTTGATGTGAACGAGCATTTTGGGGGGCATGGTTAAAGTTGCGCATGCGTTTCGCTCTCTCAAAAGTTGGGCCATTTTATCATCATGCGCGAATGAGCAACTCTCATAGGAATGAATGAGGCCCCGCCTCCCACGCTGCATCCAGTTCTTATTATACATCCATGGCACAGATGGAAGGCTGACAGGCAGGTAGGCCATCCAGTTATTTTAGCCGGGCCGGCTAAAATGATTGGTCGTGCTTTTTACAGTATTACGGCTTCCACAGATGACATTTTTTTATGGATTTTTTGTCAAAGCACTTAAGATATTCATTGCTATCGGGATGTTAAGAGCATTCCATGGAATATAACAAAAAGTGTATCTCGAGCCGGTTTCTCAAACTTACCTACCCCACCTTTAATGTATTATTATATATTATTAACTCGTGTTTACTGTGACAGCCTGCAGCGCCCCCTGCTGGTCAGAGGCTCTCCTGCTGCCTGACAGAGACAGAGAGACAGAGAGAGACAGAAAGAGACGGAGAGGAGGGTTAACTCGGTCCAGCTGCAGAAAGTGAGTGTTTCTGTGTTTCTTCAGAGTTTATACAGTGTTATTTTGATCTGTCTGCAGAGTTTATTCATGATCCTGCAGCACCTGTTAGCTAACCGGCTAATTAGCTAACGGGCTAATTAGCTAACGGGCTAATTAGCTCGTGGTCACACCTGATGCATGTGCTATATTAGCATACCTAGCTTTCAATTGACTTAATAAATGATAAATCGTGCGTTTGAAAGCCAATAGAAGTCCAGGTGTAATCAGAAGAGCTACTCAGAAGTCCGCTGTGTGAAAACAGGCTTTTAAATAATTGTATACATTAATATATTATATGATATATCATGTTGTTAATGCACTAACATTGCATTTTAATGTTTTAGCTGAGATCACTTTCATCATTTCATCAGTTATTATTGAATGTAGTGAGTATTAACCCTCCAGCTGCTCACTACCTGCAGCTGTCAGGTTAATACGAGGTAACGAAGTCTGCAGTAATAAAGCAGCATTAGTCTGTACTTCTACTGTTATTTGGTAATAACTTTATTTAAGCTTTCCTTGCAGTTTAAGGACTAACTTTAGACTGCTTCTGAAGTAAAAGTGAAATACTAGTACAGAGAAAAGATTAATAACTCAATCCTTTATAAGTAAATGTTACTGCAGCTTTACTTGTTTTAGGTTACAGCTAAGATATATCAATATAAAGTAAAATAAACCACGTGAATAAGATTGTAATTGTTGTTGCAGTTCACCAGCTAAACTGCGACAGCGCCACCGGCCCATGTACTCCAGTGTGATGGTTAAAAAAGGTACTGCACCCGGTGATGCTATCCCTTCCTCGTTAGTATAGTGGTCAGTATCCCCGCCTGTCACGCGGGGGCAAGCCGTGTATACCCATAGAAGACTTTCTATTGGCCAGAAGCCTTTTCAAAAGAACGACGGTTCGAATCCCACCTGACCCAAACAAAATTTCCCACATTCAGTTTCAAAATGTTGCTCATTATACACAAACACTACATTTATCTTTTCAAACGTTTAAAGTTAGAGTTGAAACTGATATTTGGAGTTAGAAATGAATTGTTCTTTCCTTGCTGCTTCTTATAGTTATTTTAACCTTAATATATAGCAATCATAACAATAATAACACAAATAATGATATCTTAATATTAGTAATAATAATGTTTTATATAATTATTTTGTATTTTTACTTATAATTAATATTTTTAAAATATGTTTATTGTACATATGTTTACATTGAGCATATGAGTGTGCTTCATTCTTCTTTCTATCACTATTACTTCCTCTATCAAGTAAAGACAGTCACAGTGATGCATTCAAGATCATTTATTCAAAAACAGCTGAAACATCAAATATAGGAAATAATACAAATAGAACTACAAATATATAAAAAACACTGAAAACACAATACAGAGAGAACAATCAGATCCTGAAAAAAGGATTGAACTATATTATATTCTTTGTATTTTTGGACTATATGATATGTTGTATTGCACCTTAATATTTATTATAATATTATAATTTAGCAGAAGATGGTGTATTGTTTTGTTATAGATGTATTTGATCTCACCACCATCCATTATCTGAAATGTTTTTCACCTCATGTTCTTGTATGGTTTATATTCTGCATTCTATTCTCATTTTAGTGATTTATACCCTCTTACTTGGTATTTGTTTTTTTATTTATTCTAGTGCAATAATTATATTTATTCTAGTATAGTATATAATATTCTAGTGCAGGCCCCAGCACCGACAAGGTTGGAGTGGAGGACCTATAGAAATCCCTGAAATGATTATTATTCTTTATTATGAATAGAGTTTTTTGAGGGCATTAACCAAAACTGTTTTGTTATCGGCAGGATTGTCAGGACTGGTGAAAAGGCTGATAGTTTAGGGGTCTCGCTTTTGTTGCAGGCAAAACGTCTTACTGTAGTTTGTATGTTAAGTTAGTATGCAACTTAGTAGACCCAGGAAGTGGCGCGTGCCTGTGTGTATGTGAGGGTAGGTTAGGGCTTCCTTTTGTCTGCAATCCATCTGTCCCTTTCAACATCATAGAAGTCCGACTGCTGGAACTCCGGCCACGTCATCTCCTTCTCCATGCCCTGTGCATTATATAAGGAGAAGCCTCTGGAGGGGCAGTAGATATACTTCCCTGGGCAAGTCAGAGCTGTAAGACACAGCAAAACACCACAGTTACATCAGATACAATTGAATAAAGCTCTATATAAATGACTGCTATAATGCAGTGTCACAGATATCCATACCTTCATCGAGGACAGTGTCTCCCTGCGCTTCCACAGGGGCCATATTATGTGGTGATGAATCTGGGATGATGAGATACAAACAGGCAAGTGACGTATACACATTATACATCGAAATTAAGAAGCAGCATTTAAGAAGTTGTGAAAAATGAAAACAGAGACGATGATATCATTACTTAACTTTACCTAAAACGTGAGCACTATACTGTATGACACCGTGACAATGTGATTTGTCAGAATGAAATTGAAGTTTTTGTGAGATACACTGGTAGTATAAGAAGAACACATACTTTGTCTCAACACATTTGGCGCCTGCTCTTCTATCCCGAGCTTTGGGGCAATGGCGAGCAGCTGAGGAGGGACCGGCAGCGGTGCCTTCACTGTGGCTGAAGGATGAAAGGCAAACATGAGGGTATATATACATAATATGTATGAAAAAGATTCAAGATGGATCCAAGTGAGGAGTATAAAAACCCAATAACCTTTCAGAGGAGCAGGTCCATCGGGTCTGGACACAGTGGCAGTTGGATAAGTCCTGTGGGCTGTAGAAACAATCCTGTGTCATGTTCCTCAAGTGTTAAGTTGTTTCAAGCTTCACAATCTGTCTTTACCTGTTGTCTCTTTAACAGAATGAAAATACCCCGTTGTATTAACTTGTGAATCCCAATGATTTGAAATAGAAAAACATAATGTCTATATGTGTTTGGAAACAGGTAAAGCAGAGAAACAGTATACATATATAGCAAGCACATCTTTCATTCAAAGGTGTGGCATGATATCTTAGAGGGTAAGAAGCTAGGTTTCCTAAGCCAATATTTAAAATGCCAAATCCTTGTATGACAGTCTAAAAAAAGCATGCAAAAAAGGAAAAACACTTACCATCATTGCTGACATGTTAATCCCTTCAGTTAGTTGGAGAACAGAATAACACAAGCATCAGAACAGACCAGAACACGGCCAAGTTATCCCTCCACACTGCTGGAGAGAAACCTGTTGGTGTAGAGACAGCCGGGGCTCTGGAGACTGCTGCTGGTGGCCCTATAAATAAATAATAAAGCACAGGTGATGGAGTACAGTTTCCGCTTATATTTTCCAAACTGTAGCACGTACTCCCCCATCACCTCGAGTCGGTCGGATACATCCCCTCCCCTCTGAAGGACCTCAGTGAGAGCATTTGTCCTCACATGCTCATGCTTCTGAGCGGCAGACTTGTCCTGAAGGGAAGGATTTTTTTGTATTCTCATACCCTCCTCTGAAGGGTCCTGTCTCAGGTGGCCAGATGGACCCTTCCTGAAAGACACTCTCATCTTTCCTGGGAAGAATATGGTTTTCTTCATTATCTCCTGCACACAGAAAAACACAATGCAAAGTATATATATTAATAAGTGCAAAAATCATCATACTGTTATATTAGCAGAGTTATTCATTTCATTCATTCACGTTAACCAGGATTTGTATAGGTAACACATTTATATTACATGATCAGACAGGCAGACAAACAAACAAACAGAGGGGCAGGTGGGCAGGAAGATTTGAAGACTGAATACTGTAGTATTTACCCGATTAAAATGTACTGTAGTAAGTAGAACTGCAGCAATGAAAAGAGTCAAATAATGCAGTATTTTGGATCAATGTTAACAAGATACACCTGTAAAACACATTTGACAGCTCTTTTGCCATGTGTAATGAGTAATAAATCAGCTGCTGTTAACGCTGACATTTACTGTAAATACATGACGTTAGTGTAACGTTAGCTAACAAAAGTTACAGTAACAACACACAGTTAAAGACAAACAAACAACTAACAACTATTGCAAAAACAGTGAAACAATATGATACGTGTTCATTCAGTCATAGAAAAATAAGCCCCACTTACGTTTGATAAGTTTGACGTGATGTTAGAAGTGGAATTGTGTCGCTAATGTCGTCTTTATCTGTAAGATGCTGCTGCTGTTGCTCCGTCTCTCACTCTCTGTCACTGGAAACGGGGTCTCCTTACCTCTACCAAAAGGGCGCAACAGCGCCCCCAATTTCTCGCTTGTGGCCAGAAATATATTGCAGTCACAGTGTAAGAACTACCATAGAGAATGAATGGTAAAGTTAAGAGAGTTAGACCTTACGATACGCGCTCCCCGCCCGCGAGACCGGGGTTCAATTCCCCGACGGGGAGGAAACACTTTATTTATTTTTTATAAAATGAACTAATAATACACAGAAAGAGAGTAGATGTACTGATAAATCATATAGTAATGATTTATGTAATTGTAAATCTTAAATCTTTGGTTACTGTGATTTTTAGGGTTGCTCCGATCGCCAATTTTGGGGCCGATCGCCGGAATCAGTATCGGCCGATACCGATCGCCGATCCGATCGAGTGGGCAGGGCCAGCGCCATATAGATAGAAGAGTTACGACAGCGGAAGTCCAAAATGCTTGATCGTCACGTGGTTCAGGGAGAGTCAATAGTTCCCCGGAAGTTCGTGGCGGGACATATGAATGCATGATTACCGGAGATAGAACTACGATTTTTGGTAATAAGTAGTGAATAAAGGTCTTGATTTGCAATATTTATACAACATACCGATATGTGCATGTATTTACATCAATATGTTTTAAAAATAAAATAGAATCTGCTAATATTTATGGATAATATTAGGTATAGTGTGAACAGCTAGTTTACTTGTTAACATATACATGTTAGGCTGTTGCCTTGGTTAAAGAGCCTGTTGCTGTTGTGTATTGCTTTGAATTATTTAAAACAAATATTATCTTCTTAAACAGGTATGGTAGTCAGGAGCATCACTTCCTAATGTTTATTGATATATTTAGAGGGAGGGGATGGCAAGGAATGCTTCAAAATTTAGATTAGATTCATTTCTACCATTTTTTTAATTCATGGTGGTTTCAGTAATCCCATGGTACTTGAGGACATAAGTAATCTAAATGACTAATGTACTCTTTATGACTTTCAGAAAGGACAGACCAACAGGTGACTATCAATGGACTAGCAGCAACATGATTATGACGTTAAAAGTGTTGTTTTAGGAACATCCATTGTAAATACATGGAATTCAATAAACATTGAATAGCATGTCATGCAGTTTGTCTGTGCCTTTTCCTCCGTGTTGTCCTGGCAAATCGTCTCCACCATGGTTTGCTGTGCTGCCTGGGGATGCTCCAATCGCTCAGAGAAAGGAGTAAGAATCAGAATGTACGGCTTCCCCACTGACACAGAGAGGAGGAAAAAATGGCTAGCTCAAGTCAGCAGGAGCAATTTAACAATCAAAACAGACAGCCGCAACAAAATATGTGAGGTAATCATATTCAAACACTGCATTTGCACTTTTTCACAAAACGAAGACCACACCATTGGGAAGCTTAATGTTTGGTTTAATACAAATAACAGGGAAAGGCTTGAGACTCAGGGTGCAGGGTGAGGGTCTCAGTGCAGGTATTCAGGCTCTATTGAATCCCCCTCTGGTTCGTGTGCTGAAAGAGGGAGAAACAGACAGGAGAAAGGGTTATACACACCTATATAGCACACCTATTGGATGGGAAATTGCCTTGGGGAGATAAGGTGTGGTCTTTGTTTCCAACTGAAGTTATGGAACTTTATTATTTGTGAGTTTAACAAAGTATGACAAATGGCATCAGTAATGGATGTGATATGAATTTGTATAAAGTTGTCTCACATTCTTGGTCGTATTTTACGTACAGTATGTAATGAGTGTATACATGTCCAGTAAGTCCTCCACCTGTAACATCACTGCCCCCCCACCTGCCATACAGTAGGTTACTACACTAACAAGATTACTTATATAATACAGTCAGGGGCGGACTGGGACTACAAATCAGCCCAGGACTCTCGACCGGCCCACTTCGGTACCGCCGGCCCACCTCGGTAAATTATCAACAGGGGGGGGGGGGGGGGGGGTGCTAGTGAGTTATCCGAGCGGCCCCACCTCGGTGCCGCAAGTCAATACCGCGAGGAAATTGTCGACGGGGGGGGGGGGGGGGGGGGGGGGGGGGGGGTTGCTAGTGACTTATCCGAGCGGCCCACATCGTCCGAGCGGCCCACTTCAGTACCGGCCCATCGGGATTCGTCCCGAACGTCCCGATGGCCAGTCCGCCCATGAATACAGTGATAGAATACTATTTAGTATGCTTACTTATATACAACAGTAGTATTACATTTACCTTGTGTTTTCACTCTCACTTTGCCATCATTTCAAAATCAGCTGAGCTGCAACATAATACAGACGGGTAATAATCAACAGAATACACTAAAAACACTCACCCATAAATTACGTTTTTGTTTACTGTTTGGAAGTCTCAAATATGCACTCTAAATTCATATCAATAGCGATGTATCACACAAATAGCTCTCTTCCTTATTATTGTGTAACGTTAACTTTATTATACTAGTTTGTAGGCCTACTCCAAAATGGAGATCGTAATTTCTCCACCTCCACTCATTACAGTCACACGTGCCCCAATGTTATATTTAACTAATATTATATTCCTCCACCCCACAAAAAAATCACGTTTAGAAGCCCTTTTTCTCTAATTCCACAACGTTGGATGAAATAACATTAGGAGAACGGATTAATAGCTGTTCATGGTTACCGTGTGTTGCTAACTTTATCCGGTATCCTAGCCTAATCTGTTATCTGTAAACGTTCCCTAAATCTACTGATTTAGGGATAATCCACTAACTTCCTTTAATACACATGTTCATTTGACTCAGATGTGCTGATAATATCTGCAATATAAATCTTTAAACGTCTTCTTACCTTTAAAAGTCCATCACGAACGGTCTATTATGCTGCAACTCTACTGTGTTGCTGGTCGCAAAAGTTCCCCGGAAGTCAGCGGCAAGCTAACTTCCGGGGAACTATTGACGGCTCCACGATCCGCCATTGCTGTAAAAAAAACTGGTCCATTGGAGTGAACGGAGATGTCGTAACTCTTCTATTATACGGCTCTGGGCGGGCCTATGGGGATCTTCCATTTAAAGTAAGGCTGTGCGATTATGGCAAAAATCATAATCACGATTATTTTGGTCAATAATTGATATCACGATTATTAAATACAATTATTCATTGACTTTGAAAACATCCATTTATTGAACTTTTAAATACAAATAATAATTTGAACAGTATCTTTTTAACTGTTGATTACCCTGAACGTATAATTCAACTGAAAAACCAATACAAAAATAAATTAAATAAATGATACATTTAAATAAATAATATCAAAATAATAAATACCAATAAACAAGATCAACAAATATTTTGGAGCGCATTTCCCCAAGCTACTAAACATATATAAATATGATAAATACAAATTAATTAGATCAAATATGTTGCAGTGCACTGTCACAACCTAGCAAAGCTAAATAATCGTTTCTTTCGATTATGTTGTTTTCGTAATTGTGGCAGGCCAAAATCGTAATTGCGATTAAAATACGATTAATTGCACAGCCCTAATTTAAAGTGATGTTTAAAACTCAGTTAATGCTCATTCACTGGCGCTTCCACAAACAACAACCAACATAATTATTACATTCAAATGAAGTACATTATTCAAGTTTACATTCACTTTGGAGAATAACACGGGAGAAATGAGCGGAAGCGCTCTCTTTTCCTCTCTCCCCCCTCTCTCTCCCCTCTCTCTCTCTCTCTCTCTCTCTCTCTCTCTCCCTCTCTCTCCCTCTCTCTCTCTCTCTCTCTCTCTCTCTCCCTCTCTCTCTCTCTCTCTCTCTCTCCTATCTCATGCAGCTCACTGATCCAGTAATGAGTGAACCGACAGTGAAGAATACATATATTTATAACTAGTTCCAGAGATAGATAAAATAGCTAAGTGTGTTAGGTCTAACTCTTAGTGTGTGTTCTGCTCCGCTCACCGGTCCGTCACAGCGGGCGGAGCTGCAGGATTTCTGCTTCACACACGTTGCACCGCTATTTTATTGTCATTTTCGGACACCTTAAAATACTGCCAGACTAGTGAAGCCATTTTTGCGAGCTTGTTTTGCCGCGCACATCATTTTACGTCATGCGATCGGCCTTTTTAGAGAGCACCGATCAATCGGCAGAGAGTGAGTATCGGCCGATATCGATCGGTGGCCGATCCCTAGTGATTTTAACATCAGATTCAAGTCTATCATCATGTGCTCAGCAGTGACGGCTCCTCCAACAGAGCAACACGAATAGATAGGACATGAAACTAATAGAACAGATCAAATAGTGCAAGAGTTCTGAGAGTGAATACAAATAAAATATAAATAGTATATAAAGACTATAGTAAATTACCGGCACACATACATGTACATATATTTAATATGTATGTATGACCCAAATATGTATATATGTTCATTTAATTCATTTCTTATCTTAAAAGTTACTTAAAGGTGGGGTAGGTAAGTTTGAGAAACCGGCTCGAGATACACTTGTTGTTATATTCCATGGAATGCTCTTAACATCCCGATAGCAATGAATATCTTAAGTGCTTTGACAAAAGATCCATAAATAAATATCATCTGTGGAAGCCGTGGTACTGTAAAAAGCACGACCAATCATCAGAGCCGACCCGGCTAAAATAACTGGATGGCCTACCTGCCTGTCAGCCTTCCATCTGTGCACAAACTTATCTCGTGCCCTCATTGGTCATGTGCGCGTTCATGTGTGTTGGAGGAGGGGCTCTGTAAGGAAGTGGCAGATTTTCTCCGGTTGTGTATTTTCAAATTCTAGCGATCTCGAGCCGGTTTCTCCAACTTACCTACCCTACCTTTAAATGTGTATCATTTTAATTGAATCTTTAATGTGTGTGAATCTGTCCTGTTTCTGTTCAAACTGCTGAGTTTCCCCACAGGGATCAATAAAGCTCCATCTCATCTCATCTAGATAAATAATTAGCAAGATGCAAACAGATGAATGTTCTGGATGTTCTCCACAGAGTTCAGGTGTTAATAGTCTGATGGCCTGTGGGATGAACGTGTCTCTGGGTCTGGAGGGTTTAGACCTGATGCTCTGTGCAGGTTTCACCACATGTTGATTATAGTATGAAAATGTTTAAACGTCAATCAGCCAATAGGAATGCAGCCTGAGCTGTGTGGTCGTCTTTCTGCTAAAGAGGTGAAGCTTGTGTCCGTGGTTAAGACAGGAAGTAGCCGACTCCTAAAGCTGCTGACAGGAAGTCAGACGCTGATCTGAGCGGGGAGGTCATCGTCAGATCGAACGCTGTTAGAGACTCAAATACTACAACGCTGTCAACAAGATATAGAAACATTTTGAGCCGTGTCAGTGTGTTCGTGATGAAGCTCGCTCTGCTCCTCGCTCTGCTCTCAGGTAACTTATATTCACCTTTTTATTATTATTAATAAACAGATTCATGACAGAGTTCTCAGTCTTGACTTCAGTGATAAGACTTGTGACTTGTCAAACAGAGACTCGGTGCTCGGGTTAGTGACAGTGAGACAGTGATGGTTATAAACGGGTGTGATCAGCAGGTATCAGATTAAACCCCAAGCAGTGTTTCCGCCAGACCAGGGGCTGAGAGGGCGGGGGGGGGGGTTGGGGTCACGTCGAATTTTGAATTGAGCCGTCCCTTATAGATACTATCTCTTTACGTATTAGTGATGGGAATTCCGGCTCTTCTTATGGCGCATTTCCACCACACGGTCGGCCTCGGCCTCGCTCGGTACTGCTAGGCCTCGTTGAGCCTTGTTAGGCCCGGCTCACTTTATGCTGCGCTTCCATTACAGTTTAGGAACTGGGGTAGTTACTATAGCAGGGGTCGGCAACCTTTTTGATATGAAGTGCCATTCTAAAAAAAATGTTTTATCAGCGTGCCGACGATCGTGAATTATCAACGGGGGGGTGTTGAAGAGCTCGACGAAAACACTTGTGAAAAGTGATGTTTAAAACTCAGTTAATGGGGCTCATTCACTGGCGCTTCCACAAACAACAACCAACATAATTGTTACATTCAAATGAAGTAGCCTACATTATTCAAGTTTACATTAACTTTGGATAATAACACGGGAGAAATGAGCTGAAGCGCTCTCTTTTCCTCTCTCCCTCTCTCTCTCTCCCTCTCTCCCCCTCTCTCTCTCTGACAGCCTGTCAGTATCTCATGCAGCTCACTGATCCAGTAATGAGTGACAGTGAAGAATACATATATTTATAACTAGTTCCAGAGGTAGATAAAATAGCTAAGTGTGTTAGGTCTAACTTGTGTGTTTTGCTCCGCTCACCGGTCCGTCACAGCGGGTGGAGCTGCAAGATTTCTGCTTCACACACGTTGCATACCACTATTTTACTGTCTTTTTCGGACACCTTAAAATACTGCCAGACTCGTGAAGCCATTTTGGTGAGCTTGTTTTGCCGCACACAGAGAAAAGTGTCATGTATGTTACGTCTCACGATCGGCCTTTTTGAGTGGGGCTGCGTTGCGTGCATGGCTTCATTCTGCAGGTAACGGGGAGACGCGCTCTGGCGGCGGTCTCGTTCAGGATCCGAAAATAAAATATATATTTCCGTGACGTCATCTTCAATGAGAACCCCAGAAAAACAACACAGCCGTTAGCTGTTAGCACTCAGAGCTCACAGCTCCTCATATCTGTTCAGAAACTAGACAAAAGTTAAACAAGTACAAACCACAGACTGCCTGTGTCATGGAGAATACAGTTGCTGGTTTATTTATGTCTGTATAGGCCGTTGTTGTGAGTGTGGACGGTCGGAGCATATACTGCGTTAGCTTAGCCAATCTCCATTTAGAAAACACGCATTTTAAAAGGTTTTTCTCCTGCCGTCTGTCTGCAGACTTGTCAAAGCATTAATTCATGGTTTTTACTAACCGGTATCAGTATGTTGTTACTTCATCATTTTGAAACGTGTATTACAATTAAATCACGGTCAAATATGTTCATCTTGTTGGAGTTGTAGCCCCCTTGCCAGCGATCCTCTCTCTAGTTTAGCATACTCAGCACGACCTGGTTGTTGGCTCGGAAAGAACCTCGATTTTGTCGGGCCAGAAAAGAGGTGAAAAATTAGCCCCGGGCCGGAACTAGGCCAAGTGGAAACACAACCAAAAACGGGCCCGGCACGACACGGCACGCTTAAACCGCGCTCCACGCCATGGTGGAAATGCGCCATTAGTGAGCCGGATCATTTGGCTCGGCTCTCTAAGAAGAGCCGGCTCTTTCGGCTCCCAAACGGCTCTTCATACCAGAGCCTCAGTTTCGCCGCTGTGAGGCTCCGGCGCTCGCAGCTCACGCGCGTGCTCCACTAGCACCCCCCGTCAAGGCTCGCCGGCAGTACACTTTCCGTCACAGGAACACGCTTTGCCCCTCCAACAGAGAGATGTCCTTTTTCCTTTTCGTCATTTCAAGCGATAACAACTCTCGATCTTCTCTCTAATTATTTTTTTTTTGGTCAAATGACGGCAAGACGCCCCCCTGGCGGAAACGCTGACCCCAAGTGTTCAGACAGGGATCACAGTTTATATTTGTTGATATAAAACAGACTGTTGATTTGTTGTCTCTGTGTCTGTCTCCTCAGTCTCTGGAGGATCCGGCCTCAGAGTGACGAGTGTCTCAGGTCAGGACGTGACTCTGACCTGTAAGTATGACATTAAAAAACGCGGAGCCCTGTCCATGTGTTGGGGTCGGGGGGACATCCCGTCCTCCGGCTGCAACAACCAGCTAATCGCTTCAGACGGACGTCAGGTGACGTTTGGGGGCGGGGCTTCCAGCAGGTACAGGTTTCTGGGTCGCCTGCAGGACGGAGACGTTTCCCTGACCGTCCTCAACGTCTTAGAGACGGACGCAGGACGATACGGATGCAGAGTGGAAATACCAGGGTGGTTAAACGACGCCAAACACCACATCGATCTGAGCGTGCAGAGAGGTGAGCGTGCAGAGAGGTGAGCGTGCAGAGAGGTGAACGTGGAGAGAGGTGAGCGTGCAGAGAGGTGAGCGTGCAGAGAGGTGAGCGTGCGTACAGAGAGGTGAGCGTGGAGAGAGGTGAGCGTGCAGAGAGGTGAACGTGGAGAGAGGTGAGCGTGCAGAGAGGTGAGCGTGCAGAGAGGTGAGCGTGGAGAGAGGTGAGCGTGCAGTGGAATATGTGTGATGGAAATATCAGTGATGATACTTATACCTATATAATCTGAGGAATCTCAGCTTTAATCTGATGTCTTGGATGTGCAGTTACGATAAGTAATAAGGGTATTTTTACCGTGAGTTCTGTGCGTTAGCATTTAGACGCTTCTTGTTAGACTTGTGTTTTTTTTCAGTAAAAATGGTTCATATCATCAGGTAGCTGAGTTTCTTCCCGTTAAGTGGGTATGACACATTCATAGGTTTTTTAATGAAGCCCTGAGACACAGTTTCATGAGAAAAGAAAACCGGGGGCTCTCGGGCGTAACAGGTTAACATTTTTTGGATTTGCCCAAAAAAAAGTTTCAGAGAAAAATGAGAAAGATCTTAAAATTCGATCTTTTTGTTTTTTTACAAATGTTAAAAATAAAACGTGTGAAACGTATTTCTGTTTCAGCTCCACAGATGATCAGAGCAACACCTTTAAACACGACTACAGAGCAGACACATACACACACAGCAGCAGGTAACACACACACTCACACACACACACACACTCACTCAGCAGCAGGTCACACACACACACACACACACACACACACACACACACACACACACACACACTCAGCAGCAGGTAACACACACACACACTCACTCACATAAACCATATATATATATATATCGTTTATAACCCTCTCTTGTTCCCTTGTCCTGCAGATCAGATGTTCTCCACTCAGATCCTCCAGACCAGCAGCCTCTCCCCCGAGGTGAGGAACATCCTGAGGGTGAGGGTTACCTTCAGAACATTTCAGCTGAGACCCCACCGTGGTCGTTTTATAAACATCATGATTTTATTCTGCAGCATGGATGATGAGACTTGCAAAAATCATCATAAAATAAAAGACAATAAACAAAATTTTTTTATGAGTAAAAAGTGAAATAGTTAAATAATTCAAATGTGTGTGTGTGTGTGTGTGTGTGTGTGTGTGTGTGTGTGTGTGTGTGTGTGTGTGTGTGTGTGTGTGTGTGTGTGTGTGTGTGTGTGTGTGTGTGTGTGTGTGTGTGTGTGTGTGTGTGTGTGTGTGTGTGTGTCCGGATGCTGGTGGGCAGACTGTGTTCCGGATGTGTCTTGTGTTCGGGGTGCTAGCTGTGCTAACGGCCGTCATTATAGTCGGTGAGTTCAACGGGAAGAAGCAGATCATCAGAAACTGAACCAGAGGAGATTAACTGTGCTCCTTTCTTCCTTATCTCTGCAGCCAGCAGACGGAGGCGACTCAGCAAAGAGTGAGTTTTACAGCCAACGAAAAAAGTCAAAATTCTGTATATTTTGAGAAATCTGGAAAAACCCAGAAAAAAATAGAATTCCTGAGAAAAAAATCAAAATGTTGAGAAAAAGGCAAAGAGGCTAAAACGTTTTAGAAAGGTTAAAAACCTGTTGTTGGTTGTGTCCTGCAGCTCAGATCCTCAGGTCTACAGCCAGTACAGCCAGGTGTGGTTCAGACGAGGCTCACCTGAGAGGAATCACACCTGAGAGAGGAATCACACCTGAGAGACGGGGGGGGGGGGGGGGGGGGGGCGAGTTCAGGTCTACAGTCCTGTATAGTTACAGAGTCTGATGAAAACCCTCAGCTCAAGATCATCAGAGAGAACAAGGAGAGACTAAATAAAGAACTGCCTCTGGAGTTCCTGTTCAGCTGTTCCACATCCTCCAGAACCATCACAGAACCATCACACCATCCAGAACCATCACACCCTCCAGAACCATCACAGAACCATCACAGAACCATTACACCCTCCAGAACCATCACAGAACCATCACACCCTCCTGAACCACACCCTCCTGAACCATCACACCCTCCAGAACCATCACACCCTCCTGAACCATCACACCCTCCAGAACCATCACACCCTCCAGAACCTCCAGAACCATCACACCCTCCAGAACCATCACACCCTCCAGAACCATCACACCATCACACCCTCCTGAACCATCACACCCTCCAGAACCATCACACCCTCCTGAACCATCACACCCTCCAGAACCATCACACCCTCACACCCTCCTGAACCATCACACCCTCACACCCTCCAGAACCATCACACCCTCCTGAACCATCACACCCTCCAGAACCATCACACTATCACACCCTCCTGAACCATCACACCCTCCAGAACCATCACACCCTCCTGAACCATCACACCCTCCAGAACCATCACACCCTCCTGAACCATCACACCCTCCTGAACCATCATACCATCACACCCTCCTGAACCATCATACCATCACACCCTCCTGAACCAGAGCAGAATGCTCAATTTTTAGAAGACAGAAAATTCTGATAAAAAAGTAAATTTGGAGAGAAAAATATTACAATTTTGAGGAAAAAGTCAAAATTGAGAAAAAAGGACTGGTTAATCTCAACAGCCAATCAGAGGGAGTTATTTTGACGACACCCCCAGGTTGCTATGGTGCTAGCGAATGTTATCTAAACTCAGCACTAAAGTAAGAACTGTGTGTTTGCTAGATTATTTCTTTGTTGGAACAATGCTTCTTGGCAATACATCTTATAGATCTGCTGCTCATCCCACTGATGCTTGTTCCATTTGAAAGATCAATAAACAGTTTTCCAACGGCATAAGATGTATTGCCAAGAAGCATTTCGAACAACAAAGAGATAATCTACCGTTCTTACTTTATGTGTTAATGTTATCTGCATGTATCTTATATTGTGTGTTACTATCAGGGCCATGAGACCGCTGAACCCCTGAGATTCTTTTATTGCATTGTTTGAAGAACCTGTGACTCAAGTTTGTCATAAAAAATGTTTAAAGTGTTTCAGTCTCAGATATTTCTCTGTGTTTCAGTCTCAGATATTTCTCTGTGTTTCAGTCTCAGATATTTCTCTGTGTTTCAGTCTCAGATATTTCTCTGTGTTTCAGTCTCAGATATTTCTCTGTGTTTCAGTCTCAGATATTTCTCAGTGTTTCAGTCTCAGATATTTCTCTGTGTTTCAGTCTCAGATATTTCTCTGTGTTTCAGTCTCAGACATTTCTCTGTGTGTTTCAGTCTCAGATATTTCTCTCTGTGTTTCAGTCTCAGATATTTCTCTCTGTGTTTCAGTCTCAGATATTTCTCTGTGTTTCAGTCTCAGATATTTCTCTGTGTTTCAGTCTCAGATATTTCTCTGTGTTTCAGTCTCAGATATTTCTCTGTGTTTCAGTCTCAGATATTTCTCTGTGTTTCAGTCTCAGATATTTCTCTGTGTTTCAGTCTCAGATATTTCTCTCTGTTTCAGTCTCAGATATTTCTCTGTGTTTCAGTCTCAGATATTTCTCTGTGTTTCAGTTTCAGATATTTCTCTGTGTTTCAGTTTCAGATATATCTCTGTGTTTCAGTCTCAGATATTTCTCTGTGTTTCAGTCTCAGATATTTCTCTGTGTTTCAGTTTCAGATATTTCTCTGTGTTTCAGTCTCAGATATTTCTCTCAGTGTTTCAGTCTCAGATATTTCTCTCAGTGTGTTTCAGATATTTCTCTCAGTGTTTCAGTCTCAGATATTTCTCAGTGTTTCAGTCTCAGATATTTCTCAGTGTTTCAGTCTCAGATATTTCTCAGTGTGTTTCAGTCTCAGATATTTCTCTCAGTGTTTCAGTCTCAGATATTTCTCAGTGTTTCAGTCTCAGATATTTCTCTCAGTGTTTCAGTCTCAGATATTTCTCTGTGTTTCAGTCTCAGATATTTCTCTCAGTGTGTTTCAGTCTCAGATATTTCTCTGTGTTTCAGTCTCAGATATTTCTCTCTGTGTGTTTCAGTCTCAGATATTTCTCTGTGTTTCAGTCTCATATTTCTCTCAGTGTGTTTCAGATATTTCTCTGTGTTTCAGTCTCAGATATTTCTCTGTGTTTCAGTCTCAGATATTTCTCTCAGTGTGTTTCAGATATTTCTCTCAGTGTGATCTCTGTGTTTCTGAAGAAGTGAAACTGCGTCCAAGGCTCAGACAGGAAGTAGCCGACTCCTCCATCTGCTGCTGACAGGAAGTCAGACGCTGACCACATGATCATCGCTCAGAACGACTCTTCCTGTAAGCTCAGTGTTAATAAATACAACATTAAAACATCACATTTTATGACCAAACTAACTTTCAACTTGTAGGTCTTAATTGATGGATTTTAATTGATGACTGGCTCCCTGATGAGTGATTCCATCAGAATGAGGTCTCGCGTTCTCTCATTAAAGGCTCAATGCTTCTCTCATGTTTACATTTTAATAAAGTCAAACTCAGGCTTTTTGAGGTTTCTTCAGTTTCTGTACTTCTGTTTAAAGACGCGGTGGGCGATGTGCAGCTGTGTGAGTGTGTGTGTGTCCGTGCAGCTGTGTGAGTGTGTTTGTGTCCGTGCAGCAGTGTGTGTGTGTGATGTCAGTGTTTTATTACGTGTGAGTGTCAGTGTGTTCATGATGAAGCTCTCTCTGATCCTCGCTCTGCTCTCAGGTAACTTATAATAGTTTAATTTATATTAACACTGACTTTGTTTACATGGGATCCAGCAGAAGGTCATGTTTTTCATATTTAAAATGATTTAAAACAGTGAAGCTTTAAGAGCAACATGTAAACTGTTGTTGAAATAAATACATATTTTTTTGTATTTTATTATATTTTGAACAACTTGCTGAACTTAATGTTAAAGCTGTTATTAATAGTTATTTAAAGGCATGTCTCTTCAGTGTCTGTGTATCTGGAGAGCTGCTGCTCTCCTCTGTTTCATACTAAAGTGCATGGACTGGATCTAAGACTTGATTTAAGTTTGTTTTAGACTTGAACCACAGACTTGTTTTGGGACTTGTTAGACTTCATTTTGGACTCATCAGTTGTCACATGGGACTTGATGTAGGACTTGTCATTGTGGATTTGGGACTTGAGGGTTAAGACTTGAATTGGGACTTTGCAGTCTTAGTTTGGGACTAGATTTGGGGGTTGATTTGAGTCTCGTCAAGTTTGTTTAGGACTTGAGTCCTAAGACTTGACTTGAGACTTGATTTGAATCTTGTCAGTCTTAATTTTGGACTTGAATTATGGACTCAACTTGGGACTTGAGACTTCATTGACTTGATTATGGACTTGAGTGCTAAAACCTGTAATACAGAAACGTGGAGGCTGGTAACAGTGATGGATATAAACAGGTTTGATCAGCAGGTATCAGATAACCCAGCGAGAAGTCCTCAGACAGCGATCAGAGTTTACGTTTGTTGATTTGTTGTCTCTGTGTCTGTCTCCTCAGTCTCTGGAGGATCTGGCCTCAGAGTGACGAGTGTCTCAGGTCAGGACGTGACTCTGACCTGTAAATATGACATTAAGACAAACAAAGCCCGGCCGGTGTGTTGGGGTCTGGGGGACATCCCGTCCTCCGGCTGCAACAACCAGTTAATTGCTTCAGACGGAAGCCAGGTGACGTTTGGGGGCGGGGCTTCCAGCAGGTACCGGTTTATGGGTCGCCTGCAGGACGGAGACGTTTCCCTGACCGTCCTCAACGTCTCAGAGACAGACGCAGGACGATATGGATGCAGAGTGGATATCTACGGGTGGTTCAATGACGAAGCACATCACATCGATCTGAGCGTGGAGAGAGGTGAGGGTCGTTACTCTGGATGAAAACAACAGTCAAATCTGGTGAGGGGCATCATGGGGTCTCCCCTTTAGGATACCTTCACTGCCCACTAAAATGCAAAAATTACAACAACAAAAAATGGAGATGCAGAAAATTCAAGAAAATCTCAAATAAAGTTTCAGTGAAATCGGCAGAAGTGTAAACCTACTAAAAAAGTGAAAATGCATGAAAGTCTTAAAATATCGCAAAAGAAAAATACAATGAAAAAAAAACGCAAATATCTTCCAGAGGACATTGAAATATAAAATAATAAAGTAAATAATTTGAGTAGAAACGCAGAGAGCAAAACAGTTTTAGCAGAAATAATGCAATAAATATGTAATACAACTGCTTTAGAAAATCCTAAAATATCTAATTTGCATACTTAATAAATCCGACCAAAACGTTTTCCAAAAAAACGCAGAAAACTGGAAAAAATCTTGAAATTCGATCTTTATGTTTTTTACAAATGTTACAAATAAAATGTGTTTCTGTTTCAGCTCCACAGACGACCAGAGCAGCAGGTAACACACACACACACACAGCAGCAGGTAACACACACACACACACACACACACACACACACACACACACACACACAGCAGGTAACACACACACACACATACACAGCAGGTAACACACACACACAGCAGCAGGTAACACACACACACACAGCAGCAGGTAATACACACACAAAGCAGCAGGTAACACACACATAACACCGCTCGCTCACTCTCGCTCTACCATACCCACACACCCATGCACATGCCACACCCCTCTCTTAAAGGGGTAGCGATCTCACTCTGCATGACCCTAATGTCATAACACTACCCCCACTCTGGATGGCAATTGCACACAATTCTAATCCAGCACAGTAAATTACATGGTACATTAAAGGGTACAACATTTCAGTGCAATCTTTGTGTGCACATATCACTGTGGAGCATAAGGAAACCCTGAAAAAGGCATTAATAGCTGAGCTCTAAAATAGCAGTCAGAAGGCATTCAACACTTAAATTCTCCATTAAAATGACAACTTTAAATGGAAATCAAAGACGGAAATATAACTTTAGTCCCATATGGTTATCAACCTGCTCTCCTCAAGTATTTTTTTTCTTTTTATGTATGAACATATGAAACAATAACACTTAGCTTGGACATTAGTAAACAACATAACGGTGTCCATGAACAGTCCTTTAACTGTGGGGCTTATGTCCTCACCCACTCACCATACCAGACAGGTGGTCCTCTGTTGCGGCCCGTCCGTGGCCCTGGAACATGATGGCTCCGACGGTGCTGCTCTGCCACACTACCCCCACTAACCTGAATGTCCTCAGGGGCAGAAGAGTCCGGAGGAGTGGAGGGGACTAAAAGGGCAGCAGCGACAGTCTCCACTTCTGGATCTGATGGGGTGCAGCTGGAGCCTTCCTCAGCTGCGGCGTCAGTGTCGGTGAACAGTTGAGATAGACCCAGGGTAGGATCTGCAGGATCCATGTCCAAGGCAGGGGCCAACACCTCCGTAGGTGTCCATCTCCGGGCGTGCTCCACAGCCCAGGCGTTGTCCAGTGGATCACGGCAGCTGATCATGGTGAACCACTTTCACTTTAGTCTTCACGCCTTTCTGGATGCGATACACCAGATCATCCATGTATCCCAGAATGAAGTATGGTCCTTCGTACGACGGGAGAAACTTCCTGACTTTGTTTTGGACTCTCCGTGTTCCTTTAATCAGGTACCACACAGCATCACCAATATCCCTTACGCAAAGAAAATATATTTCCCCATATATTAACTGTCAATATATTGCATTATTTTGTTTTCTGATTTACTGGTTAATTGAAAAGATTTAATAAAGGAAATCTTGCTGTTGGCTACACCAAGTGATACTGATTAATAATCAACATGAAAAACATATTTATTCATATCTACAAAATATATTGAAAATATATTGAAGATATATAGAATAATATATTGTGTTAATATATTACAATATATATATATTGAATAATATATTGTGATAATATATTGTAATATATGTGATAATACATCAGTAATTGCCGCTTTCCATATATTGAGTAATATATGTAAATATATATAATATATTGGTTGTGTATATATGTGAACATACATTTACTATATATTAACATTTATATGGGGACATGTACTATATATATTCACAAATATATGGGGACATGTATGCGCTATATATTCAGATTTATATGGGGACATGTATGTAGAATATATTCACAATTATATGGGGACATGTACTATATATATTCACAATTATATGGGGACATGTATGCGCTATATATTCACAATTATATGGGGACATGTATGCACTATATATATTCAGATTTATAAAAGACCATGTACGTACCATATATTCTGAACATGAGTGCAATATATGTTCACAATGAGGAAAAATGCATGTTCTGATAAAAAAAATCTTTCATTTAATTTCAAACCTTTATTTATGCAGGTGAATCTCATTGAGATCATTGATCTCTTTTTCAAGGGTGACCTGCTGCAAGTAGGTTCCACATGAATACATATAAACATAACAGAAAAACAAAAAAGGACATCATACAGCATATTTACAGTGACTACAGTTTACATAGCTAGTAACATTTACAGGTTCCAACAGTTTCCGATTGGATAGCATCTATCCTTGCTTTAAAAACATTTAGTGGAACCAAATTGCTCAGACTGTTCCAAGTTAGCGGAGCTGCGCATCTAAATGCTATCTTCCCTAAGACAGTCCTAGCAGTTGGCACATTTAATAAAATCACAACATTCGATCTCAGGCAGTAGCCACTTACAATTCGCCGTGAGATCAGGGAGCAGATGTAGGATGGAAGTTTCCCTAACATGGCTTTGTATATAAAAATGTACCAGTGACTGAGCCTCCGTACAGTTAGTGAAGGCAAACCTGCCCTTGCATACAGGGTACAGTGATGGGTTAATACTTTACAGTTTGTCACAAATCTCAGTGCACTGTGATAGGCGGCATCTAACTTGACCAGGCAATTGGCAGGTGCATTCATATAGATCAGATCACCATAGTCCAGTACAGGTAAAAAGGTCACAGTGACTAGCCTTTTTCTGGCCTCAAGTGAGAAACAGGACTTGTTCCTGGAAAAGAAACCTAGCCTAACCCTCAGTTTTTTAAGCAGGTTATTGACATGAAGTTTAAAAGTGAGACAATCATCAAGCCAGATACCAAGGTATTTGTAACAGGTAACCACTTCAAGTTTTATTCCTTGTGTAATTACAATATCTAAAACAGGCTCTGGTGTCTTTTTTAGTTTTTGAAAAGAGCATTACCTTGGTTTTATCAACATTTAAAAGAAGCTTAAGCGCTGAGAGCTGAGTCTGAATAATGAGAAGCTTAATTTGTTTGTTTCTATCAATGTGTAACAGTTATCAAAATACTCATTAAAAGAAGGACAAGGAACGAATAAAAGAAAAGGCCTATAAACAACACATTATGTAATGACTCAAGAACATTTTAATGTAATTATGTAATAAAACCCACATTTTGTAATAATCTGCTGCATTCTGTAACATCCTGAATGCAATATAAAATAAATGTCCCTGCATTTTGTAATAAATTATTACATTTTGCAATGGTTATTACAAAATGCGTGAGTTGCCCTTTTAAAAAAAACTGTAATATTCATTATGTAACCATAACCAAACTGTAAATATATCCCAAAATTGATGTTGATATACATGTTGGCTAATGAATATGGTAACACTTGATCTAGTTTTGGCCAATGAAAGATATTCTACTGAAGTATTTTTAAATTATGAGTAAGGATGATTCATGGTTGAATAAATAAATAAACAGTTGTAATGTTATTGTTTGCAACTCATTTTGTAATAACCACAGCAATATGTAATAATATATTTCAAAATGTGACGACATGTATTACATATTTGCATTGAACTTGTTTACTACATAATGGGCAAATTATTACAAAAGGAGGTGTTATTACTAGGGCTGTCAGTCGATTAAAATATTTAATCGCATGATTGTCCATAGTTAATCGCAAATTAATCGCACATTTTTTATCTGTTCTAAATGTACCTTAGAGGGATATTTTTCAAGTTTTTAATACTCTTATCAACATATGAGTGGACAACTATGCTTTATATGTTTGTTTATTATCATTTGAACAATGACAAATATTCTCATGAATATTAAACACAACAACCTGAACATTACAAATATTCGCCTCAATTCAACCTAGAACCTCTCTCATACAATAATACAATACTGTGTGTGTGTGTGTGTGTGTGTGTGTGTGTGTGTGTGTGTGTGTGTGTGTGTGTGTGTGTGTGTGTGTGTGTGTGTGTGTGTGTGTGTGTGTGTGTGTGTGTGTGTGTGGGAGCTATGTGCAGCTCAAGGCATATATGCCTGTGTGTATGAGCTGTGTTGCGCGCACTATCCGTGCTGAGTGTGCTGTCTGGCTACCTGCATAAAGTCAAGTGCTCGGCGCAGTTGTCGGCGAAATGTCGCTCCTCTTTTCATTGAAACAGCTCCTTATATCCGTTAGCTCAGCTAGCTAGCACCAGATGCTAACAACAACACGTAAGTTGTGCTTCGCTCGCGCCACACATACACACACCCTCCCGGTCCTCCCGATGGCCAGTCCGGGCCTGCCGGTGAGCGTGGAAGTGTGGTCTGCCACAAGCGGGCAGCAGGAGCGGGGCTGTCAGCATCAGCTTGTAGATGGTATTTTAAACTCGATGCGCTCTGAAACTACGGCGGCCGAGGACAAAAAATACACATGCGTTAATCGCGTTAAAATAATTAGTGGCGTTAATTTTTTTTTGCGTTAACGCGTTATTAACGCGTTAACTTGACAGCCCTAGTTATTACATAATGAAGGGAAAATGTATTACATTTTGTATAGGTATAGTTAATAAATGATGCATTGTTATTTCATACAGGGCCAAAAAAACAGTCTTGTACCCTATTTGATCGTCAATCTTGTTTTTTTCGTGCCTTTACTCACAAATTCTTGTGTTAATGGATGTTCTTATATCTGATGTCTTGGTCCCTGGATGGTGGTTTACTACAGCATCTGTGGAACAGAACAATTACAAATAATTAGAAGTTCACAAAAGACAGCAGGAATTATAACAATATCCATAATATCTATATTAAAGCATGGGCTGGCTTGGTGAATAATGTGGGAATACAAATAGTGGAAGAATAGGCTTTGTACATTTTCGTCTGAGTGTGGCGCTACTGGTTGGTATATTTTATGGAATTTGGACCAAGCATCTGCATCTGTAACAGTTCTGTTTAAAACTTTTTTAAATGTAATTGCATTCATCTTTAAAGGTAGGGTAGGTAAGTTTGAGAAACCGGCTCGAGATACACTTGTTGTTATATTCCATGGAATGCTCTTAACATCCCGATAGCAATGAATATCTGAAGTGCTTTGACAAAAAATCCATAAAAAAAATATCATCTGTGGAAGCCGTGGTACTGTAAAAAGCACATCCAATCATT